AAGGAAGGAAGGAAGGAAGGAAGGAAGGAAGGAAGGAAGGAAGGAAGGAAGGAAGGAAGGAAGGAAGAAAGAAAGGAAAAAAGAAAGAAAGGAAGAAAGATTTTAAAATAAATATTTTAAAATAAAGTGTCAGTCTGTACAGTAGAAGATGAAGTTAATCTTGTCAGCATTCAAAGCCTGTCTTTCTAAAATGTTTTAGCTACTCTTCCTATTTTGAAGTAAAGGTGTGAGAAATTATGTTTACCCCCTTTTATGGCAAGAAAAAGCAACAGTTTGTTTTGGGTAGTTCAAAATCCTGCTGTCACCACGCACTGGTCCTCTCAGGTTTACCGAAAGTTATTAAGTCCTACAAGAAGGGTTGTATCATACTTAGTCATGACAAATTCAAAGCATTCATAAGACCAAAAAATAGGAGCAACTGTCTTCTATTCACAAATAACCTCATTCCGATTCAGCACACTTGTCTTCTGTTATGAACTCTGATTTACTAAGGAGGACAATGAGGAAACTGAATCATCTGCAGAAGAAAATGTGCAATATGCCACCAGCTAGATAAGAATTTTGCCCTTCTGCATGCATGAGAGATACTAGGAAATGTTCTTTTATATGGAGTAAAGTTTTGTATTCACAAAAGATAATGTGGTTTCCTCTGGCAGTGAAAACCTGCTGTGTATCACCTAATCATATAATACAAAAGCAGTAAGCAAGCTTTCCACTTGGACAGCTTCAACAATTCGCTTTGCTCCTATTGCGTATGAGGATCCCCTAGTGCGAACGTTCACCTACATGAAGATACTGCCTGAAAATAAATTGAGTACAAAACACCAATCAATTAAAAAAAAAAAAAAAACAAATAAACAAACAGAATTTTCTTTTCCTAAATGATATTTTCACTGACTTTGTCTCAGCTACTCTCACTGCGACTGGCGTTTTGTGCTATCTTATTTTCCAAAAGCCATAGGAAAGAAGGTTACATGGCATGGAGTACTAACTTCACTTTAAAGAGGGAAATACTAAGATACTTCAGTTGTCTCAGTTCTGCTTTTAACATCTCCTCGCTTAAGGACCTAAATTTATTTTCATAGCAATTCTTTTCTTATCTAACATTATCTACAAATATTGCTGCAAATAATATTAACCATGTGAAAATTAACTATATGAACTAAGGAAGAGAGAGGCATTGATTTCCTGTCCTCTCCTAAATGATTTGCACCAAAATGACTTGCTTAAGTTAGACATCTAAATTTTCAATAGTTAATATTAGAGCAACTCTAGTCAGGCTCCCCAGTGAGATTTTCAGCTCATCCTTTCATCAGTGTGTTATATCAATAGTACCATGACAGTTGTACAAGGTTTTGGTGAGTGCAAACAAGTTGCAAAGCAAATAGAAAATTTAATGGAAAAAGTTCAAAATATTTGCTATCTGACATCAAAGGAAAGTTTGGACAAAGATTGCAGAGGTGTTGTAGCATTTTTTGCTCACCTTGCATCATAAAATTTACTGCACATGTGTTGGCCTTCAAGGCTTTCCAGTGAATCCCATAATGCATACTGCAGCCACTCATATCAAGCAGTCTTCAGCCTGCTTCAGCCTGCAAAAAGATCCTCCCAAGCACACCATACATGATCCCACCAGAATACCCCGGAAGACTCATTTTGAACTGCTGTACTGCTCTTTCGTTACCCACTCGTGACTCTCAAAAGCAGTTTTCTCAGTTCTATGAAGTTTTTGTACCTATGGTGCTATCCCTTTTGATTTTCAGTGTGCTCTGATGGTATGGAAAGCATCTTAAAATACTACTGACTCAAGCCAACTTGGCAATAGTACAGTGGAAAGAGTGTGATACATTTGGTTCCTGCCAATTATGTGTTTCTCTATTAAACTGCAACTAGGTTATTTAAGGGCAAAATGGGCAATAGAAGACCCATTAGCCATTTCAATTCTTTTCTACCCAGAAATACTCATTCTGCATTCTTCTTTAGTCATGATAGCATGCCTGAACTACTGCCTTTCTCAGTTCTCAAAGTTCCGTTTAAAAGCTATTTTCAATTCATTTTAGCAGGTATGAAAGCATAACAGAGGCAGGGGTAGAGCAAGCTTCATCTTTTCCACTCCCATGTGTTTGTGTGAACTAGTCAGAATGTAGAAATGAACACAATACAGAATATGTAATATATCAACTTAAGTTTCTGTGTGAGTCTGAAGCAACACAGGCCTATAAAAGCCTGTTTGCTAAAGGTCTGGGTCAGTCTGTTAATGCCAGAGACTTTTCTATTAGAAACTTAAGGAGGACACAGAGAGCAGGCTTTTATGGTAAGGGAGAAAAATTTTGAAACAGATATCTTTTGAAAGACAAGTGAAATTTAACAAATCTTGTCCTCACTTGGATATGTTCCACCTCTTGCAAAACTCTGCTCCTTGGCTTAGAAGTCACAGAATAATAGAGTAATTTTAAACGCCTTCACTGGTGCAATACCTGGTTGAGAAACAGCCATCATAATGAATCATCCCAACCAGACAGTGGAAGTGGCTCTGATGAATGACAAGGTAGTTGTTATATTAGCTTTTGCCTACTAGCTACACCAGAATTTTGTTTGTAGAATACTTACAAGTGAGTTTTCCAATAAATTAAGAACCAATTTTAACATTTTGGTGACTTCCCTGGTGATAAAGTCCTGTCAAGTAATTGAAAACTTATTCTTTTAGGTGACATCTTCCAGGCCTGGAGAGACATCCTTGGTCTGAGCAACATGCAGATCTACCCCAAGACTTCATTTCTACCATAAACACGAAGCATTAAAGCCAAATGATAAACCTACTTCCAGGAAAAAGAAAAATATAAGGAAAATTGGAAAAAAAAAACCAAAAACCTGGGCTAATCCTCTAATCCTTCGATCCTTTTAACCATAGAATCAGAATGGCTTGGGTTGGAAGGGACTCCAAGCATCATCAAGTTCCAATATCCCTGCCACAGGCAGGGCCACCAATCTCCAAATCTGGTACTGTACCAACTTGTCCAGGGCCCCATTGGAGCATACACAACCTCTATAGGCAGCCTGTTCCAGCACCTCACCACTCCCTTAGTGAAAAACTTCCCCCAGATGTCTAATATAAATCTCCCTTCCTTCAGTTTAGAACCATTTCCCCTTGTCCTATCACTACCTATCTGGGTAAAAATGTTGGTTTCTCTCTTGTTTATAATCTTCTTTCAAATATTGGTCTCCCTGGAGCCTTCACTTCTCCAGACTGAACAAAACCCACTCCCTCAGCCTGTCTTGGTAGCAGAGGGTTCTCCAGCCCTCTGATCATATTTGCGGGCTCCTCTGGACCCTCTCTAACAGCTCCTCATCTTTACCAAGCTGGGGACCCCATACCTGGACACAGTACTCCAGATGGGGCCTCATAAGGGCAGAGCAAAGTGGGACAATCACTTCCCTGTCCCTGTTGGCCATCCTTCTTCTGATGGAGCCCAGAATACCACTGGCCTTCCAAGCTCCAAGAGCACACTTATGTTCAGTTTTTCATCCACCAGGAACTCCAGCTCCACAGGGCTACTCTCAAGGAGTTCTTTTCCCAGTCTGTATATGTATCTGTTATTATTCCAGCCCAAGTTCAAAGGGGTCAGAGGGGTCTTTATTTAAATAGTCCTATGTCCTGGGACAATTGACCATCTTCTCCTTGTGAGTCAGAATCAGTAGCTGAAGTAGAACCTGGAGACCCAGACCTCTGCCAGGAGACAGAAGCTTTCCTACTAGAAGAAAGGAAAACAGAAAACATTATCTACACAATTAATATGGGCCAAAGTCCTTCCTGATGCAGGTTTTTTCTCTCGAGGGGATATCAGAGACAACAGCTACAGCAGCACAGAGCTAATGGAAACGCTCGAAAAAACCACATCTTCCCCGTCAGCTGACAGCAGCAGTACAGACTGTGTGGGTCTTGCCTAACAGTTGCATGACAGAGCAGTATTCAGACTGTTTCAAGAAAATGTGCTACAACCGTTTTTCACCTTCTATAACTTTTCCTTATGGATCTGGTGAGCTAGGCCACAAAAAGATACTTTGGCAACAGCTGAAGGTCTAGAGGGATTATGAAAACATGTGAAGAGTTACTTCACATTAGGAAAGAGTTAACAACTACAAAGAACAGACGAGTAGAAAACATACTAGTGGTGAAATTTGTGCTCTGGTAGGGAAAGAAACGGGCAGCTAATAGATACCTTGAACTTCTCAGATTATACACTATTCTGATGCTGAGACATGACACTATACTTTCAGATGAAAACATGTTACAGAAATACGCATGTAACTATCAGTTACATACAAAGTAGATCCAAAATATAATAATTTAACTGGTTTAAAAAAAAAAAAAAAAAAAAAAACCCTGCATTTTTCACTATTTTCCTGTCTGTGCTCACTATGGGTCTATGAAGCATAACTTGAGGGCATGAAAAAAAAAAAAAAAAAAAAAAAAACCTCTGACACTGGACAACTGCAGACTACAATTTTTACATAAATAAGGTATTTTTAACAATTTAAAAAAATAATTGAGTTTCTATCATAGTGATTACATCTGCTTTGAAAGAGAATCAGATCACTAAAGCAGAACAGGTTATTAGTATATGCATGGTTACAGTACATTTTCTGAGTTATCTCAGAATGTTACATCAGAGTCTTTATTGGGCATGAATTATAACTGTAAATCTACTCACTCATACACATTTTTCTGTCCTTCATTATTATGTCAGGATTTTCACATTCATTTGTAACACATTTATTTTATAAGCAGCCATACCACATGATTCTTTCCTTTCACGTTTGTAATAAATATATATAATCATATGTAACACAGACACATAAAAAAGATAATGCCTCACAGACAAGTGATTATATATACTTGTTATAGACAGTTTGAAACTTTAAGTATCTTCATTTTAATTAGACTTTACAATTAACAATACATTAATATGCAATTAAATCATTTTATTGGCAGTATATTTATTTATAAATTCTAGTAAATGGGCTCTTAGAATTATAAGCAGACAAGAAATAGAAGCTGAATGATCCCTTTGATTTCAGTACTTAAGACATGTAGTAGTATTTTCATAGCAGTTGTGTGCTAATACAATGTACAGTAATACAGTGTGCAGCTGTCTGCTGAGAAACTGCATTCAGTTCAGAAGCAGGGTTACATACCTGTATGGAGGGTGTCTGCTAAGTTAGCTCCTTACAGAAAAAATGAGTTTCTGCAGCAGTTCTACTGCAATTCTGCAGCTGCCCAGTGTCCAATGGGTGCAAAGACGACAGAGGCCACAAAGATAAACAGAAAGTTGCAGTAGATAAACTGTCTCAAGTGATGCCAAAGTTAATACTCTTTCACCCTCCTGCTTTGCAAGAAAGACCAGCTGTAAGAAATCCTTTCAGCGCTAACCCTTGCCTCAGCACTCCTTAACCTCTGCAATAACGCAGCACTTGCAGACAATGTGTCAGTTCCGTGTTGCCAATCCAGAACAAGTTTAATTGCTTCTTGTCTTTGCAACAACTCTTTGCAAACACAGTCTAAATCCTACTTAATCCCCACAAGACCCTGCAAGGCAGGTGAGGCATTTCACGCTGGAAATAACTCTTTAGATTCAGGTTTGTATTCTCAGTTAAATAAAGCACAGACAGATCAGAATGGGGGATCACATCTGTGGATACAGATGTTCCAATTCATTGGTATTTTTAAAGAACTTCACAGGCTTTGGTTCTGATCTATGTCTAATAGAACATATAAGTCAAATGATAGTCACTGCTTTCTCCTGCTGCCTTTTTGGATCCATGCAAGATCCTTTTCTCACAGCAGTGATGAACTGTCCAGGGTTTAGTTTACTTTTGGATTTGAACAGCAGATTGAAGCACTTTCTAACAGACAGTTACAGCAAACAGCAACAGTGGCAGCCTGGCTGTCATGGCCTTTCATAGAGGGTTAACAAAACCCTGAAGTGAGACAGCGTGACAAGGGCTAGAATGCTACTTGTTGCATGCACACAGGAATCAACCAGTGTCATAAACCTCTTTGCCTTGCTTTCTGCAAAGCTCCATCTTTAAAGCCTGTCAGAAAATGAAGAAACAAGAAAAGGGAAAGGGAAAAAAATACTCCAGAAACTTCCATTTATGAATATTTTCTGACCTATTTGTTAATATAAATATTGCTTTTCTACCTTTGGTCTTCTTGGAGACCCGTCGCTTGCTTCCTGTATGGCTTTCGCAGCTGCAGCCTTCAGCTTGTTGCCAGACTTCCCTTCTGCCTCCCTTTCTACATGTGATACCTTTGACTCCTATTTCCTTCCTATAGAATCTCCACCCTCCTCCAGCTCCCTGTCTCCCTCTCTCTCACCTTTCAACCTATCATCTCAGTGGTCACTCCTCCATTAAGTATCTCCTCACATCTGTCTCCTCCTTCATCAAATTATATGCTATGTATTGTGTTGGTTTTTTTTCTCCCTCACTTCCAGAATTTGCAATCAATTCTATGTTTGTCCCATGCTATTAGTATTTATGTCTCCTCAAATCTCTCATATTACTTCTTTCTTTCTTCTACCCATTTTCCCCCTTTTTGAAGTCCTAGTCCTAGACTTTCTTATCACTTAATCAAAAACTGACTGCAACTGGGAAACTGAAAGACATTTTTATCAGTGCTCTTAGGTACAAATATGATTTTTATATGAAAAGATTCATTATAAATAATTACTGTTTACTACCTTAATCCTGTAATGTGTTCTTGTTAGTATTCCTTCCAACAGTCTCAAAAGACAAAGCGTGGTGCTCCTGCCAACTACTTTTTCCCTGTCCAGCTGTCATGCTTTTTGAAGTGCTCCTACTCCCAAGAAAATGAATCTTCAGCAGCTTTGCCCATACACAAAGCAGATCTTCTAAGTAAGGAAAGGCGATCCTCATCCTCCACTTACCTGTTCCAGAACTGAGAGAGGATCTGAGAAGAAGCTGGGAGCAGCACGGACTTCTCTGTATGCAGCCTCAGTGCAGGAGTAGAAATGTTGGACTGCCAGTGCAGTGCCTTTCCATCCCACAGCAGCTAGAAAGGTAATAGGCTGTATCCTTCACCACTGCCTTGTGCTTTGCAAAGACAGGGCATAGCATGAAGCACCCCAGGCACTGTGGTGGAGTGCACACCCTCCATCTAATTATACCCAGTCTTCTCTGTTTTGGGGAAAAAGTAACAAC